AAAGATGTTGAGGCCTAAGCTCATTTGTTCTCTAAAACTCCCAGTTTCAAGATATCAAAATGAAGATACCAAGAGGACAATCATAAGATTGGAGCAGAGTGCTCGATCTTCTATGCAAAGAGCGATTGCATCTCAAGGTGCACTTGCTGTGTTATACGGCCGCCATTCGAAGCATTACATTAAGAAGAGCGAGGTATATATATTTATGTTTCTTTTATTCTTTTGTTTACTCCATTCAGGAACTTCCCAAAGTAGGGTTTTATTTTTCTGACTCGTGGGTTTTGTCCAATGCCTAAATGTTCTTATAGTGCGTATATACTGCAAGATTTGAAGATTTTAGTGAAATATTAGCACTCTTAGTTCATTAATCTTGCATGTGATAGAGGTAATTTTTTTAAAAAAATAAGTGATAGAGGTAATTATCGTGCAAATGATATCATTCATCTTCGAGTGTTCTTATCTAAATGCAACCTTCTTTTGTAGGTCATTCTAGGCAGAGCAACTAATGACTTTGATGTTGATATTGACTTGGGAAAAGAAGGCCGGCCCAACAGAATATCTCGTCGACAGGTGAGATTTATTTCCTTTTCCTAAAGAGTTCCTTGAATATTAATTTTTGTTGTTTTGGCGGATTGAGTTTGCTGAATATATAGAACTTGCATATGCAGACAGGACAACTGTTCTTCAATTTATGAAATGTATACTCATAAGATGCACATAGTGAGAAAGGAGTAGATTTAGAGTTAAGAGAAGACAACCGATGTTAGATATAGATTAATCACTCCTATAACAAGTAACTTCTTCCAAATTAATACAGAACAGAAAAGTTGACTGCTCGTATATTGGGATAGAGAGGCTAAAAATATTAGAATAAGAGGTCAGAGACATTGAGACTGTATTACACAGTGCGATATAATAAATGACATCTTCCAAAAATTGGTATCCTGCGAAAATCTGCTAGAAATATTATAATGATTACTTTCAGTGGCACATGCAGCCAAAATGTTGGTTGTTTTTCGCTTGATAATATTTCTTCGATTAATTGTTAATCTTTTGTGCTAGGCCATAATAAAAATGGATGACGAGGGGTCCTTCTTTTTGAAGAATCTCAGCAAGATTTTAGTTTGCATTAATGGCAAAGATGTTAGTAACGGAGAAATCACCCCTCTTACCAACAACTGTTTGATAGAGGTACGTGACTTCCTACTAAATTATTAACTGATGAATACCTGGACTGTTGATTCTTCTGCTGCCTAAATTTCTTTCTCCAGCTTTCAGGCATGGCGTTCATACTGACAAAATTTGGTTTTCCATATATCTCTATGAGTTTGCAGATAAGGGGAATGGGATTTGTGTTTGAAGTGGACCAGAAATCCGTGAGGCGTTATCTGGAAAAGGATAAACAAGCAAGGAACAACAACTTTGAGTGGTCACAACCAGAGAGATGAGAGTCCTATGTATAAAGGAAAAAAGAAGATTTTCGTTTAATTTGCCATTACCAATGCCAAGCATCAGATGCGGCTGCATTATATAATAATATATACGAACTACAGAATCCATACAAATGGTATAGTTGGAGATAGATTACACTTTAGTTATATGCAGATAACATTTGATCCCTCCGCAATTTAAAAGCATTAAGGTAGAGACAAGTTAGTAGGCTGTTTGAGTTTTCTGAGTAATCTTGGGTCGGGAATGACCAGTTATTTCTTTAGTTAGCCTTAATTCTGAAAGAGTCAAACCAAAAGGAAACTCTGGTTTTTAGAAATTATGAGGAGAAGTTTCAGTCCGATTATCAATCATTTAAACACAAGCGACTGCAGATTTCGTGTCAATATAATCCATGCACAGTTTTGGTCGGTGAATAATGCTGATAGCTCAGGAGTATATCATCAGGTATTGTTTTACTATTTGTTCTGTTAAACTATAAAATTAAGACTATGTTTGGAACTTTTATACATTTAATTTTATTTATTTTTATATTAAAATGATAAAACTTGAATTCATATTTAAAAAAAAAAAAAAATTGTTGAATTAAAATAACTTAATTATAAAATTGATAAAAATTATTTAGATTTTAGTTAAAGAGTTTATTTAGTTTGAGGCTAATTATGAGTTAGGCTGCACCTAATTTGACCAAGTTTATTGTTGAGTGTAAAATAATTATTAATGAATTTATTATATTTTTAGATAAAAATAAATATTATTTTAGTTAGAATAATTATTTAAATAAATATTGATGAATTTATTATATTTTTATAATTGTATAGAATTTTTCATTTAAAAGAAGTTTGGAGTAGCGCCTGGGACCCTGTCCGTAGATTTGGAATTTAAGTTTAATGTCTGCTGCTGCTTATATGTGAAGGAACGTTGACGTATTACGAGCATTCAACACAATATATATATATATATATTATATATTATATGTTCCCTTAGTATTAAATTTATAATTTGCTCTAACATATTGTTCTATAAAAGTGATACATAACAGTTTCTTGTAAATAAGAGAATTTCTTCAACTCCAACCGGGTGAGTTGAAGCAAATTTAAAATGAGACTCGGAAGGATTGTTTTCAAGGAACAATCTGGTAAGGTTTGGCGTACCTAATTAGGAATCTACATTCTGGAAATGGATAAGTTGTTGCCAAATATATTGTTAAAATTCAAAATGTGTAATTACAATTATATATCCACTCCCACATACATATATATATATATATATATATACACATATGTTTGTGTGTGTGGAAATAATACAAGCACCAACTTTTACACGGGACCAGATGCCCAGTTCACCAGCTTGCAGATGCTGTAACAACAACATTACTGAGGATCCAACTCCTGCTGGCATTTGATTCTGATTCCCAACAAACTAACTTATAATTAGTAGGGTAATAGGGAATTCTACTGTTGTCAACTCTTTTGAAATTAAAATGATTAAATTGGAAATTACTCTTAACTAAAAAAATTTAATCCCTACAAAATTTTTCTTTTAGTTTATAAACATAACAAGTTTATTGATACTTAATCAACATAACTCTATAAATTAAATTAAATATTATATAGTGATTAGTGTCAATTTATAATAAATTAATAAAATAAAAAATTTTAAGTAATATATAAAGATATTAAAAGAAAGAGAATGTAAGAATTAATACATGGGCCGCTCGGTGCCCATGTGAAATTAAGGCGAAGGAATCCTTTCTTTAGCAATGAAAATATCATGTGTTCATTAAATTCTTGGTACTCTTTCGTTGTTTTAAATATTATATTATAAAGTTTATTTAAGTGTTAATCCGTCATCTTACATGTAGCCGTTATTACTATAAATTCTGATTAATAAAAAATAATTATTTAATTAGTCTGTAGCTTCCTTTATGATGTTGTCACTGCTACTAAAAATGGGGAAAAGGACGGATAAAACAGTTATGGCTGTTTGCCTCAAAAGAAATTATGAACAAATTTATTACTTCAAATTCAACAACAGTTTAAGAACTTTAGCTAGAACCAACTTTTCTTTTATCTTTTTTAAAAATATATGTTTATACACACTATGATATATGTGTATATATATATATATATATATATAATCAACAACAACATGCTCTTATACCCACCAATACGACATCTCTCTTTCAAGGCCATTACACATACACATACAAAATCTTAAAACATTTCTGGCGATTTCTTCTGACAATTTTCCCGTGAATTCACGCGAGAAAATATCACTGTGACAGCACAAGCGTCAAATTGGTACTCGAAAGCCATCTCCTCTTCCTCGCCCCATCATAATCATTTCTTCTCTTTTTCTGGCTAGGATTCTCAAAGCCGACGATTCTCATCAGCTGGATCTCTTCTTGAGACTTGCCTATATCTTTCAGTATCTAGAGTTATTTTGCCTGTAGGTCTTGTCTTTGGTCTTCTGTCGGAAAATTTACAGATGGCTAACTTCAATTTCTCTCTGGTTTATTTTCTTCTGTTGCTCGTCGCCGTCGCGGAGATCTTTCCCGGAGCTGAATCGGGGACATATTCGGGAGATGTCGAGGGTTTGAAGGAGTTCAGGAGCTCCGTCGACCCCAACTCAGTGAATCCAGGGTCATGTTTGAGCTCTTGGGATTTCACATTCGACCCGTGTGATAGCCTTTTCAGTGAACGGTTTACGTGCGGGTTCAGGTGCGATGTTGTGGACTCAGATGGAGCGAGTCGGGTGACGGAACTCAGTCTTGACCAGGCAGGTTACTGGGGTTCACTCGCTTCGCTCTCGTGGAATCTTCCGTACTTGCAGAACCTTGACATTTCGGGTAATTTCTTTTACGGGTCGGTTCCTAGCTCGCTCGCGAACCTCACTCGGCTCAGTCGACTTGGTCTGTCGGGGAACTCGTTTTCCGGCGAGATACCCACCTCGATTGGTTCACTCTCGAGTCTCGAGGAACTCTACCTCGATCACAATAACCTGGACGGCTCAGTTCCCTCGAGTTTCAACGGGTTGATAAGCTTAAAAAGGCTCGAGCTTCAATCGAACAAATTAGCTGGTGAGTTTCCCGAGTTGGGTTCCCTAAAAAATCTCTACTTTTTAGATGCAAGTGACAACAATATCTCCGGCCAAGTCCCCAGGACATTGCCAACACCTCTGGTTCAAATCTCCATGAGAAACAACAGCCTTGAAGGCAAAATCCCTGAAAGTATCAACCTTTTGACTTCTTTACAAGTCTTGGAGCTGAGTCACAACCGACTCAGGGGCTCAGTTTCTGCAACTCTCTTCAACCACCCGTCTCTTCAACAACTCACTCTCTCCTTCAACCAATTCACCTCCATAGACTCGCCGTACGCCACTCCGGGCACCCAAAGCCAGCTCATCGCGGTCGATTTGAGTAACAACGATCTCCGGGGATTATTGCCGGCGTTCTTGGCGTTGATGCCAAAGCTCTCGGCTTTGTCGCTTGAGAACAATAAGTTCACCGGAATGATACCGACCCAGTACGCCTTGAAGGCAGTTGTACCTGGGTCTGGAGTTGCCCCGTTAGAGAGACTATTGTTGGGAGGGAATTACTTGTTCGGACCCATTCCGAGTCCATTAATGGTGATGAAACCCGGGTCTGCCAATGTCAGACTAGTTGATAATTGCTTGTACAGATGCCCGGCTTCCTTCTTCTTCTGTCAGGGAGGTGATCAGAAATCGTTAATGGAGTGCAAGAGATTTAGCCCTATGATTCCTTGAGAACTTATAATTATTAATATTATCATTAATTAATTAAATTCTAATGTAATTTGTACTAATTTCCGCCACTGGAGTCGTCGTCTTCTTCTTCTTCTTCTTCTTCTGTCTCTTTTTATTGGGCTTCTGTTCTTTTGCTGTCTGGTGATAATTGGCCGTTGGATTCGTTTTTATTAGTAGAAAATCTTGTGCTTAATGAAGGGACTTGCAGTAAATTAATCATATGAAAGATTGAAACGTTTATTAAACATTTTTTGTGGTGTGGGGTTGATTCTTTTGTCTGTTGTTTTCTGACAGTATGCCCACGTGATGTCAATGGGAAGTGGGGCATACGCGCAGGAATGTGGTCTGAGCTGTGGGACCCACTCTTTCCTTCGAAATGGAACCTTAGATAAGGGCCCACTAAGCCTAAGCCCAATTACAAACTAGGCCTCATTGACTTCAAAATTTACAATCAATTATATCTGGATGAAGGGGTAAAGTTGTTATTTAATATGATTTAGGATTAGGGATTTAAAATTTATTACTATTATTATTTATATTTTTTAAATAAAATAAAATAATTATTTTTATTAACTTTTATTAAAATCAACAGTTTGCTGAAATAATTTTTAAATTTTATAAAAACCAAACCATAAAAAAATAGATAATTTCTGTTTAAAAAATTGTGTAAAAAAATAGATGATTTAAAACGTAATCTTCATCTCCGAACTGAAATAAAAAATTTTAAAAAAAAATTATAGAAACTAATTTAAATATTTTAAAATAGTATGATACTAAATTATTATTTTGGCATATATATATATACAACCGGTACACAGGAGATTATGGTCTCAACTGGAAGTTGGATTATAACAACTAAGCCGGGGTTAATTCATTTCTGACCCGCAGTATGAAAATTTCAAGTTGGTCCGGCCCATCTTCCTCAAAATTTTGTCCCATTCAAATTTTTTAAACCAAATCAAGAATATTGTCCAAAACAGGAAACAACAAAATCATAAAAAAACCCTAAAGACTTTATATCTTTCCATTTCTTATATACAATAAATATCATTTATCACATATATATATATATATAAGTGCCACGATATGCCCATGTCATACATTCTCTGTCTCCATAACCTTTTTCTTTGTCATGCAAAAAATGAAGAACCAAGAAACCCTCTCTGTAATCATCATCTTCATCATCCTCTTCTCTTCTCTAACAGCGTTATCAAAGCCCTGCCATGAAAATGACAGCCAAGCTTTGCTTGGATTTAAGGCCAAGATCACTTCAGACCCTTCCAATCTTCTTCGCTCCTGGTCACCTTCTTCCGATTGCTGCACTTCCTGGGCCGGCGTCGTCTGTGATTCTTTCGGCAGAGTCATCAATGTCTCACGTCCAGGACTTGTTTCTGGCGACGACTTCATCTATGACACCTTCATGGTCGGAACTTTATCGCCGTCCATCGGTAACCTGGCTTTCCTTCAGGTTTTTGATCTGAGTAATCTGAAATTCCTAAAGGGTCCAATTCCGCCGGAGTTCGGAAAATTGTCACGGCTTACTCATCTTTTTCTTGATTTGAACAGACTCTCCGGGTCAATTCCGGTAACTTTCAGGCATCTTTCCCGGCTGGAAAAACTTTCTCTCAGTTATAATCGGCTGTCTGGGGTTGTGCCTGGATCCGTAATGGGTTCTCTGTCGTTATTATCTGAACTTTATCTTTCTGGGAATCGGTTTGTTGGGTCAATTCCGGCTGAGATTGGAAAGTTGGTGAGATTGACAAATCTTGATTTTCATGGAAACAATCTCTCTGGTAGTATTCCTTCCGCCGTTGGCAACCTTCGGAGCTTGAAATATCTTGATCTGTCTGAAAATCAGATTACTGGAAGCATTCCAAATTCCATTAATGGACTATCCCAGTTGCAGTTACTTTATCTGAACAAGAACCAGATTACAGGAAGCATTCCTTCTTCTATCTCAGGACTTGTTTCTTTAACATTCTGCCGTTTATCGGAAAACAAGCTGACCGGAAATTTACCGCCGTCTATAGGCACTCTTCCGAAAATCCAGCGGCTTATTCTAGAAAACAACAGGCTGACAGGAAAACTGCCGGAGACCATCGGCAACCTCGTAACTCTAACTGAGATATTCTTCTCTAACAACATGTTTACAGGCAAGATTCCTTCAAGTTTGGGAAACTTACAGAATCTTCAGACTTTAGATTTGTCGAGAAACAAACTCTGTGTCGTCTCTCAGGAAATTGCAAAATTACAGAAGTTGCAAACCTTGGACCTCTCATTCAATCCTCTTAAATTATTTAGCGTACCAAATTGGCTTTCCAAGCTGAAACTTTTCCGATTACTTTTAGCAGAAACCGGCATTAAAGGACAGCTTCCAATCTGGCTATCTTCATCATCTATATCGATTCTCGATTTATCCAGTAACGAACTGACCGGAAAAATACCGGCTTGGATCGGAAACATGAACAGTTTGTCTTTTCTTAACTTATCAAATAACGGGTTCCATTCATCAATCCCAGCAGAGTTCAAGAACCTTTCTCTTCTAATGGATCTCGACCTCCACTCCAACAAGTTTTATGGTCAGCTCAATTCAATTTTCACGAAAGAAATCAGAGACCCACTCGGCCGTTATAACTCCATCGATGTCTCTAACAATTTCTTCGTGGGTCCCATCGATGGACAAATCGGATATCTACCTTCAATGTCCTCCATAAAATCACTGGTCCTTTCTCAGAATCCATTAGGAGGATCAATACCAAAGTCATTAGGGAAGTTGAGTGAACTGCAAGTGCTGGAGCTCGTCGGAAGTGGGCTTTCCGGGAAGATACCGGAGGAGGTCGGTGACGCCGGTGAACTGGTAAGAGTTTTTCTTTCGAGAAACAGACTAACAGGTTCTATACCGGAGAAGGTGATTACGTTGAAGAAGCTCCGAGACTTCAACGTGTCGTCGAACAGACTCGCCGGCCGAATACCTCCGCATAAAGCCAGAATTCCGGTTTCCGCATTCGGGGATAATCCCGGATTATGCGGTGATCCTCTTCCTCCATGTAAGCATTATTAGGTTTTTCATTTCAAAATCTTGTAATAATTCATCTCAAAAGGATTTTCCTTCGGTGTCTTATTCAATTAAAATAAATAATAATAACTCAAATATTTGTTTTGATTTTATAGAATTTAATTAGTTTTTTAAACTTAGAATTTTGTCAAACATTTTTTAACTGCAGAGTTTAACAAACAAGATGAATTTGCAAATTCAATTTTCTTTTATATTAAATTTAATTGAGACTTTTGGTTTCTTGTATTTATTTCAACTAAAGAAGCTTAAATCATTGCAGAATATGTTTTTAGTTAGATTCCAACATGTAACACTCACTTAGAATCTTCCATTTGTCATTTTGTACTGAAGATTTTAAATTGCAGCCTCGTAACGGCTAGTATATATATATATATATATTATAATAAATTATTATTATTTCATTTTCAATATTTATGAATAAAGATGATAAAGATTATGTTAAAACACGTGATGCATGTGAGCTCCCAGTGGCAAAATAACTTCCAACTTTCGCAGAGTACGGAACCCATAAGCTGCGTGCATTCCATTGCACTGCGCGTGAATATTTCTTGTTCTCGGTTCGAACCCCTGCCTCTCACGTGATACTTTAATTTCTGCTTTTGTCTTAATGGGCCTTTTATCCGGCCCATAAAAGTATATATGAACTGGAGAAATGGAAGCAAAATTAAAACAATTAATCGAATTACATTAACAGAGCAAATTACGGAATACACCGAATAATCCCAATTAGTTTAATATATAACCGAAATATTAACTTAATAAATTACTCTTATTCATTAATTATAAAAATTAAATTTAATTAACATCTAATTGAAAACTGGACCTACGCCGTCCAATTAGGTTCTTATTTCTTTTTTTTTTTTAATTTAGAAATTAATAAATTAGGCAACTTGATTTTTTTTTAAAAAAATATATTAAATCAAGTTTTTAACACAATAGGTAATAAGTTTATTAAATTAAATATTATATATAAATTACTGTCAATTTATAATATATCTGTAAATTAATGAATTTATATTTAATTATTAAATATATCGTTGGTAAGTTTAAATATTTACTAAACTATAGTGATTAATTTAATTTTTTTTTTTAGTGTGAAAATTATTCAAAATATGGCACTTTGAAGCTTTATGATTCGAGTATAAAGCATGCTGGAGAATGATAATTAATTCATCAACTTTCCATATCCACTATAAATTGTTTCTTAGGATAAGCGCCAAAATAATTTAATTTCAAATTTTTATTCAAATTTCAATCCACACAACAATAATACCCACAAACTATTATACTTATATATATATATATATGTGTGTGTGTGTGTGTGTGTGCTGGTCAAATTTTGATGGTTCTCATATAATTAAATATATGGCAGGGCAAAATGTCACATTTCGTGACTAATTTTATGGTCGTTTCAAATTTTGAAAATTTAAGAATCAATCAATATATTTTATATGTTAAAGTCAAACTGAGAAACTATATTAATAGTCGGATCAGTCAAAGAAATACTTACTATAAAATTAAAAATTATTTTGTTAATCAAACATGTTTATTTTCGAATTTGTTTTTAAAAAAATATTAAATTAAAAATTTAATTCGTCATAATAATTATATACATCAATATATATAATTAATGTTGGGCAGTAGAAATGGTGGTGTAATTAAAAATAATTAAGGGAAGAGGGGGGAATCATTTCGGTCGTGGTGGTTTGGGCGAGGGGGACAAAAGCTGGCCCGACGTCGTCTTTGGTCTCTGCATCACCACTACTTTTTCTTTCCCTTTCCTTACAAGTCATTTCTTCTCAATTTGTCCTCATCATTCCTCCCACAATTTCTATTTATTTAAAAATAATCATGCAAATTAATAATTAATTTTTTAAACCCATTTATTATTATTGAAAACTTTTTTGATTAATATTAATTTATGTAAAATTAATATGAAAAATATTGTATTATAACTTACTAATCCAGAAAATACGAATAAAATAGCGAACGAGAATTCTATAAATCAAAGAAACCAATGTAAGCATAGTTTATTTGACACCTTATTTTGTTGGTATTGAGTGCTAGCTCTACCCTTGTGTCTGCCGGTGTATACATACATACATACTATCTCATGGATGTTGATAAATGTATAATATGATAATGGATAATGGGGGTGTGTGTGTGTGTGTATATATATAAATAGTACGATTTTTTTGTGAATTAATTTTGATAATTTTATCATTAAGGAGCAAAAGTTTAGGAAGCAACGAGTGGGAAAGAGCGAAACAAAGAAAAAGTCGGACCAAGAGGAGCGGCAATCCATACGGTAAAATTTCGTAACAAATAAAAGTAAAAATAAGAATAAAAAATAAGACAAATATGGCGGTTTCCTAGGTGTTCACGAACTCGGGATTTTTGGTAGGCCGGACAGCATCATCTAAAAAATAAATTAAATAATAATAATAATTTCTCAACCTTAATTTTTTAAAAATGTTTTTCCGTAAATTATAAATAAATTTCATATTTTAATTTTAATTTTAATTTTAAAATTTAAATGATGGCGATTTTACAGTCTTTCTGTTTTCTATTTTCGTATCCCGCAAGTGCAAAGGGGAGAGAAAGAAGAGTCTCTTCTGTTCAAACATCGTAAATTCAGATTTTTCTCTCTTTTTTTTTTTTTTTTCTTTTTTTAAAAAAAGAAGAAAACGTTTGCGACCAGTAACGTTAAAATATATACCTTGCAACGTATACACACGATATAAAACAACGGACGTGAATAAATACATTCATGTATACGTATGTATACATACGCGTATATAGAGATAGATATACATATATAGATATACAGTATATTGTTGGTGTATTGCATAATAAATATTGAAAGAAATAAAAAAGTAAAAAGGAAAAAAGAAGATCGAGAGATAAACAAGAAAAAAACGGGCGTCGGACAATTTGCCCCTCATTCAATGCTTTACCAAACTCATCACCCTTTTTTCTTCCAATTCCGCTCCTTTACCTCCATTCCTTTCTCTGCAACAACCACCCATCTCTCTCTATCTTCCTCTTCTTCTCCTCAGGTATTCAATTCAATTTCTTGCTGCATGAAATTTTGGAAATACCAGTTCTTCTTTTTGGGTTGCCTTGTGGGTTTTTCTGAGTTTGGGGGGGGGGGGGGGGTTGGTTGATGATTATTTAAATTCTGGGTTTCGTTTGTTGTAGGAAATGGAATGCATTGAAGCGGCTTTGAAAAGCAGTTTTAGGAGGGAAATGGCCATGAAAACCAGTCCGCAAGCTTTTTTTGATGATGACACGCCAAATGGGTTGTCTTGCGAGGATTTCTTCGTTGACGACCTTCTTGACTTGTCAAACGGAGATGGTTTTGTTGAAAAGGAGGCGGGGAAGGAAGAGGAAGAAGACGACGAAGGGAAAGTATCTGCTGGATGTGTTGAAGGACAAGAGGGTCTCAAGCAAAGTTTAGGTTTCTCCTCCGGCGACGATTTTGGGTTCGTAGACGCGACCGAACTTGCAGTTCCGGTACTTTTCTTGTCTTGGAAATGGTTATTGGGGGATTAATCGAGTTGGGGTTTGACAAAAAGGTGGCCTTTTTTTTTTTTTTTTTGCAGTCGGATGATTTGGCGGACCTTGAATGGTTATCTCATTTTGTAGAGGATTCCTTTTCGGAATACTCCGTGGCTTACCCCACCGGAGCTTTGCCGGAGAAACCCAAGTGGCAAACACCGTCATGCCATGCTCAACTGGCGCCATCTTTCGCCGAGAAGCCGTGTTTCAAGACACCGATTCCGGCCAAAGCGAGAAGCAAACGCACCCGAACCGGAGGTAGAGTTTGGTCCCTCGGGTCTCTTTCCTTGACCGAGTCATCTTCGAGTTCAACCTCCTCAACATCCTCCAGTCCTTCAAATTCAAGCCCTTGGCTCATTGGTATCAACCCCGTTTGGCGGCCAAGCCTGGACCAACCAGCCGAACCGGTTTCCTGGGAGAAGCCGCCGGCGAAGAAGGCGAAGAAGAAATCGGGAACGGATTCGGCTGCACCCAACGGGGGGTCCCAGCCGCCACGGCGGTGCAGCCATTGCGGAGTCCAAAAGACCCCGCAGTGGAGAACCGGCCCACTCGGGGCCAAAACCCTGTGCAACGCGTGTGGGGTCCGTTACAAGTCCGGTCGGTTATTACCCGAATACAGACCCGCATGTAGCCCGACTTTCTCCAGCGAGCTGCACTCCAACCACCACCGGAAAGTGCTCGAGATGCGACGGAAGAAGGAGTCGAGCCAGCCTGAACCCGGTTTGGTATCTTCCCCCTTGACGAGTTTTTGAGCGTAAAAAAAAAAGGAAGGAAGGAAAAAACTAGGGGATGGATAGAGAGGGAAGAAAAAAGAATAGGAAATGAACCGGATAGATTGGAAGCCGGTTCGAGAGGGAAGCCGAGTTAGGTTAGGATCGAGTGTACAATTTGTTTTTTTTTTTTTTTTTTTTTTTAAATCAGGGTGGTTGCGGTAGGTTTTTCTAGGCAATGTAACTGATTAGGCAGATTCTGATATGGACTTTTTTTTTTTTTGGGGCTTTAATTGAATTTATTAATTTAAAAATTATTATCTAATTATTAAAAAAACACGAATGTTTTTTTTGAAAATTTTAAGTAAAATAATAATATATTTATTAATTAAGAATTTGTAAAAATGAAACGGTTTTGTTAATGTGGCCGTTGGAAGGCAAAAGAATTATGAATGCGTCGAACCATATATCTCTCATCATCAGCACAAACAAAAGAGCAATTTATGGCGTGAAGAGTACGCCTTTTTTCTTTTTAAATTTTAAATTCAAAATTTTAATAAAAATTGAAAACTACGTATAATAATTTTGAATTTAAATTAGTTGGTGGTAGTTTTTCTTTTTAAATGCTTTGGATATATATAATATTTTTATTTATATTTATACGAAATTGGTTTTAAATGTTTTTGTATTTAATAACTAAATATTTTTTAAAATAAATTCAGTGGTTGTAGTAAGTAAACAAAGGAATTATTTCTTAAAATTATTTAGATAATGATAATTTATTTTTAAAATGAAAAAGTAAAAATCATGACGTACTAACTTGATATTTCCAAGAAATTTCTGGTTTTGGAGTCTAATGAAATTTGTTTGTTTATTGCACCACATGTAGGCGTAAATAATTTGATTTAGATGGTTGAAACCCTATTGGAAATTGATTTTCCTAATCTGAAAAAAAATTACAAATAACTTGCCGAATGCGGACGTAATTACAACACATGTTTTCATAAATTCCTTATATGTTCAACAAAAAAATAATAATTATACAAACATTATTATAATAAAAATAATTACTCCAAATTGAAGTTGCGAAAATCATCGTATTACATGGGGAATGTGTGCTGCGTTCCCCCTTTTTATTATTTTACTTATTAATATATTTATAATTCAAACAGGTCAGCGGGTGCCCAAAATGAAATTCCACAATCAATCACGGGTGGCTGGCTGGTGTCAAAACTGATAAGCCGTGGTCAATTACTGTTGTCACGCCAAATGTCAAAACTGTTGTGCTTTTGACTTGAAGAAATGACCCACCAGTCAAAGTTCCCAAGTCGTAATCATATCAATTTTATATTTATGATAATTATTATAATTTCTAAAAAATATATATATGTAAATTAATATGTTCGTGAAAATTATAATTAACTTTTATATATATAAAAAAAAAAAGAGACACTCCCAAACGTAAGAAAATCTTCCAAATTTGTTCCTCTCATAATTGTCACGGGATGGCAATCGGCTGCCCCAACATTTATAATATTAAGTTTTTTATTTTTATTTTTTTAAAAAATAAAATTAAATAAATTCAATTTCATTATGTAATGATTAAAAAGTATATATTATTATTAACAATAAACCAAATGCTCATTATCATTCTTACTTGTTGTAATCAGATCATCACCCATCCAGAGCAGCATCTCCGTTGACTTCTAAATCTTAAACATGTATTTAACCCATAAAACTTTTTTACCACATAGCAAACTAGACGCGCTTCATAAGAAGGAAAAGACACACTGTTATTTCACAGATAACAATTGATTGCGTATAATATCAGGGCTGTAAAAACCAAAAAAAAAAAAAAAAGCCACTCCGCTCCACTCTCAAGTCCGAATACAGTAAAATTTCACCAGGTAGGTTAAAATTAGAGTAAATATTTTGCTTTAAGAAGGTAGCAACAAAATCATACAAGTAGCTGTAAGACTCGGCAAGGGTAAAAGAGTATAGCTGACTGCCATGCAGACATGCTTTCATGGTTTGGAAGCTTTAATTTTTCTTGGCTCTCTCTGCATGCCGCATTCAGGGCCCCAACAGTATCCACCGTGGCTTCCACCTCCGCCACTGCCTCCTCCTCCCCATCCCCAACCACCGCCTTGGCCACCACCTCCTCCTCCTCCGCCACCACCACCTCCTCCTCCTCCGCCTCCACCATCATTTCCTCCACCTCCTCCTCCCCCACCAACTCCACTTCCACTTCCTCCTCCCCATCCATGACCACCATTTCCTCCCCCACCACCACCTCCTCCTCCTCCGCCACTACCACCACCTCCTCCTCCCTGGCTTCCACCACCACCACCGCCGCCACCACTACCGTTTCCCCTTCCACTTCCATTCCCTCCTTTTCTCTTTTTGTGCCCTTTACTTTTACCTTTATCTTTTCCTCCACTTCCACCACTTCCTCCTCCACTACCACCGCCTCCGCCACCTCCCCCACTTCCCCCTCCGCTACCACCGCTTCCACCACCTCCCCCACTACCGCCACCTCCACCACCTTTTCCGCCATTATTACCATGATCTTTCATGAGAACTTCTCCATACGAGTTGCTTGTGTTTCTTTCTTGCGCATGCTCAACAACATTGTTGTATTGACCAGAAATCTCCTCGCTCGAGCTAACATTACGCAGCCCATCAACCAAACATGGGCTGATCATCAACGTGACTGCGGCGACAAGCAACAAGAGAACTCCAAACCCTCTTGGAAACTCCATTGTTGCAACTCTGCAAACACTTGAGATGCCTGAGAAATTCACTCGTCCTGTTCCTCTTTATATACTTGGAGATATGGCTTACGGTCCAATTTGTCCCCACCCACCTCCATTTTCGATGACCAAACATACACGCTTCGAGTGCACATAACCTTAGATATGTTATAATCCTATATATTTATGTGGGTAGAGATAAATTTCTTTTGCTTGACGAATGAAAAATGGTAAAGAGGACAGGAAATGGTGGGCATGTGATGCCCAACATTTTTCATTCGATTGATCAAGTTGGGGTTTTTTTTTTTTTTTTTTTCTTTTTATGGTGGTATTCTATAATTGTTTCATGGGTGTTCAAGTGCATTCCAGATAAGACACAAATAAATAATAATGTTTATATAAAAGGAAATATAAAATCTTTTTGTATATCACATATACGGTGCAATTATTGAAATTAATCTTTAAACTTGTTCAAAAAATTTTAATTTTAATTATTATCTTTTTTAAAAAAAATACACCCTTTACCACTAACAAAAAAAAAAAAAAATTGAAATTCTAGGAAATGAATTAGTTCCATTAGCAAAATGGGCTGTTTACTTAATATCGACCCGTCGCAATTTCCATTAAGCCGAAATCGCTAGTAATCGTGAATCAGCTCTATGGTGGCAAATTCATTTCCTTTAGTGCTTGTATTCATCACTGTTCGAATTAGCTTCAGCTTGTTTTTATTTTAAAAAAAGCACTTGTTCGTGAGATGATGTCATATATAAATATCAAAATACATATTTTTTGAATATATATGACGTCATATATGTGTCAAAACGATTAGCCTGGGTCAACCCGCCTCCTATTATGGACAAGTCGGGCTGGGCTGAGTTCGTACAGTCGCAACCATTTGCTTGACAGCTGATTGGCTCAGCTCGTTGGGCCTAATGGATTGGATTTTGATTAATTCTTCGATCATATCTTTTTGTAGAACTGTTTTTTTAGAGGCAGAGAGATACCGACTTGACCAATAATTTGGAGACACAGTAACTAAAGTCAAAAGTCAATGGTTTGAACTATAATATATATATATATACACCTATACTCATTTCACGTACACGATACTAAAGTTCCTACACAGTCAACAACTTGAGTTATTCAACGTTAGAAAATGCAATCTGTTTTGATGAAATCAAATTATTAATCCCAATATAACTACAGATTGACATTTTAGTGTACGCCTAGATGGCGTGTATATGTATGTATGTATACCTGTCCAGGAATGCAATTTGTTTAAATCTTGATTAATTTTTTCTATAATTTATTAAGGATTGTGTTGGGGTTTTTATAGGATGAAAAAAACCTAAATTTACATTGATTTTAATCTCTTTCCCCTCTCTATTTAACAATTTAAAATATTTTTAAATAATTTTACATCGAATTTAAATTTTCTAAGAATAATTTATTATAATTTAAAAGATAAATATAAATTAAATATTCTAAAAAATAAACTTTAACTAATAACATATTTTTTAAAAATAAATATATTCTCAATCTAATTAAAAATAAGTTTTATTTGAATTAAAACTATTAAATATAATAAATTATAATTTCTACATTTATTTTCAACAATTTCTCTAAATGTAGAAATTATAATCACTAAATTTATTTTGTTGGAGCACTTCTCTCCAAAAAAAAAATTTGTTCAATTTTCATATTTTGAAACATTCTTTTCGATTGTTGATACGCTTCTCACCAACTTTCGATTATTAATGCAATTCTCATCAATTTTTAATTATTTGATGTACTTCTCATCAAAATTTATTGGAGCATTTCCCTCTAATTTAAAACAAAATTATTCTTTTCTGAGCAAAATTTATTTATTCATTCTTCAACCTGCAATTTCTATTATATATATATTCAAATATTTTACAATAAAAATATTGTGTTTTACCTTTGCGCTAACAATCTTTCTCATCATAATTGTTTTTTTTTTTTTGCATACTACACATGGTGAAAATTTTTCCTTTTTGATGTTGAAAAATGTTTGATATCTTTGCAATGAAGACTCTGTCTATGATTTTTTTTTCTTGATTACTCATATCTCTATATTATTTTTTTACATACTAATAATTAATAAAGACTCTGATACCACTTGTTGAAATTTTTTTAAGATAAAAAAATCTAAATTTTTAATGACTTCACTCTCTACTTTTTTTTTTTTTCATTTAACAACTTAAAGTACTTTTAAATAGGTTTAATATAATAACTGAATTATTATAGAAAAAAAATAAAAATAATAGTAATAATATATATGTATCTAAAAATACTCCAAAAAATCTAAAATCGGTGTTAAAAATCTTTTTGGCTAATTTTAAAATTCCAGCATGGCGGCACTGCCCTGCTTCAGCGACGGCACTGCCACCCATAGTAGTTGTTTGCCTCGGACTGGTTGTTTTCGGTCAATCTTGGCTGATTTTGACCGATTTTATACACATCCATACGAGAAAATACGTTAGAAGGCCTCGATTGGTCGAAAAAAGTCAAAAATAAAAACTGACCGGCGGGAGATTTTCCGATGTGACGGCTCTGTCTGCTCACCTTCGCGGCTGTGCGTTTTTCTTCAGTCAACCTGTAGAAAACAGAATGATGAACACAATGGTGAAAAATTACAGAAAATGGAAATCGAAAAGGGGCTCAACGGAGGCAATTTTTAATTTTTTCTATGGCGGTGGCGCGGGCTTTACTTGCAGTTTTCGGCTCATCCGTCGATTCTTTTACTCCGAGTTAGCCATGAGGGTGTTCAAAATTAAATTCCGAACTAATAAGAAAATTTTTACCTTTTTGAATGGTCGGAGGTGGCTCCGGCGCGGCGGGGGACCGCGATCGAGTCCCTTCTCTGATGACTGGTTCTTTTTCTCTGACGGGGAGCTGGCTGTTAGTGTAACGGTCCCGAAAATTTAAAAAGAATATAAGTGCGGAAGCGAAATAAAAGGTTTTAGTTAATATCTCTTACACAATAACTTAAATGTACTAACAATACCGAAAATAAGTCATCTAAAAGAAAATACTGAAAATGAAAGACTATAAGAGAAACTAATAAACATCTAGGTAACTACTCGCCGTCTTCTTGTAGATCGGACTCAGGAACCAAGTCCTCCTGATCTGAAATGGTTAAGTAAGAAATGAGCTACACTAGCCCAGTAAAGACATCACACTATATCACTGTCACAGAAGTAAAGGTTGGTAGAAAACAAAAAACAACCAATGGAGTACAGGTTTCAAGTAAATTTATTTATCAATAATCAAACCATTTACTGTCCACTTACCTCAATGGGATTTATAAAAATGACCTATGAAAATAATAACATCATAGATATCATAAGTTCATATATAGTC